TTCTAAACCTATTTTCAGTTTAGGTCCCTCAATAAAAATTGCTGCTGCTTCATTTTTATACGGGCTGTGTGACACGGGAGAGAATGTCAGCTGCAGAGGAGCAAGGTTGACGGGCTCTGGGGCTGTCTGTCCAGAGGGCACTACGTGCTCTCTGTGGTTCCCCACTCCCAACCGGCTCTTGCCCTCAGGTCCTGCACTGAGGCCTCCGGACAAGCCTCCTAGCTCTGCGATGCTTTGGGAAAGACAGGGAAAGAAGACGGCTGCATGATGGGCAGGGAGCAGAGAAGCTGGGCCTGGGGCCAGGCCCTGCGGCCCTCGCCACCACGGACCGTTTCCTCGGGGGAGAGGGTGAGGCCAGGTGGGGTCTGAGGGTCAGACAGGGAGCTGGGGGCTGACCTCAGAAGAGCCAGCGAGTAGGCTAAGCGTGATTCGACGAGGGCCTGCAGGCACTCAGGCCCAGATGCGCGGCTGCCCCTCTGTGTGTGGGTGTGGCTTTGCCCGTGCTTCTGTGTGAAGGAGGACTTGTCCCCTAAGACGAGCTTTACCTTCAGGCCCCCTTGCTTCATGTTTCTTGCCTCCCAGGCTATTCTGTGTCCATGATTCCCCCTCCCCCCTACCCATCCACGCTTCCTGAATTCGTGTGATCAGATTGCGTGTGTTGGGACTATCACACATCTTGGCTTCCTATGGTTCTTCCTATACAAACTCCACCCCAGCCCTCAGGAAAGGGAGAACATTGTCTGAATGTTTGTGCTTTGGCTGCTTGGAAATTTTCTTCCTCCACCACCTGCTGGTTAGTACTGCCCTCACCAAGTAGGTCCTGGCTCCTTGGAACCTCAGTGCTCAGCCTACTGGTACTCGGCTTCTACCCCCAAATCTTGCCCTTTGCTGGATTCCTTCTGAGTGCAAAAGGAAGTCCAGTACGCTTTCATTCCTGTCGGGAGAATGGGCTTGCTCCTGAATTTTCCTTTCTGAGCTATTTCTCGGCAGCTGTGGGGCTCGCCACTGTTGTAAAGTTCTCTCTTCTCCTGGGCCTCCTCTGTGAATGAATATGCAACTGTCAACATATCGTGATTTGTGTTTATGTTTAAAGAAGGCATACGGTTGGCAGAGCCAGGAAATGAATTTTAGCACTTAAAACCATTCGCCTGACACCTTCTAGTGGGGCCTTTCCTTGTAAACCCGTGATGATTTCTGCCCACGGCTGTGTGGACGGATGGGCGATCTTTTACAAAGGGCTTTCTGTACCTTCGGGAGAGGTGCTGGGAGATAGAAGGCACTGTTATTGTAACAGTGATGTCCTCGCTGTTACTACTGAAATCCCCCGTGAATTTCCCGAGAGACTGAGCTGACTGGCAAATAAAAGATAGTGAAATTGACCTGAGAGAAAATGAAATGGCCATTTTACTCAGTTGACCAGATTGGGTCTCCCGAGGAAAGGAATCCAGCTTATCTAATGAAGATGTCGTGCTGTCAAGGCACTGAGTGTCTGGTTTCCTGAGGGTTAAAAGATTAGGGTCTGGGATCACCACAGCATCGATCGATACTGCCTTCCCGCCCTTTCTAATTGCCACAAGCTGGGGAGCATCCTTCCCCGGGCACCGCTACTGTACCGTATTGATCTCAGGTAAGTAAGATCAAACCTCAGCTGGAAAGAATCTGTCTCAATGACAACAGAGTCGCTGTGTTGATCAGCCGCCAGTGGGGGGAGCCAGCAAGCCAGAATCAAAGATTAAGTAACGTGCCAGTCGGCTTTCACGTTCCGTTAGTCTGACCTTACCTACAGCTGTGCGCTGGTGGTGACCGGGAAATCTTTAGTCTAGGTTTTAACGTTATAGAGCATTTATTCGATATCACCAGTGTGACCTGTAATGATCGAAATACAGGATTAGACATGGCACAGTGCAGGTCCACACATGTCAGATGCCACCAACACTTTTCTTTTGGAGCAGAATTCTCAGTGTGTGAGACAAGGGCCAAGTCTGACATCACCACTGGGGTTGGGCTTTAGAAAATGCCTGAAGTTATGCTCAGATTATCAGCAGCCGGTACAGCCACAGTATCTGCATGTGTGGGGAAGAGTAGCGAGCGGGGGAAGGAGACAGGCTTCCATTCCCTCAGCTGCTGAGAGCCAGATCGGCAGGAACCCTGGTGTTCAGAAACACTCGGTTGGGGCAGGTTCTCTCTAGGTTGGCACTTAACAGTATTTATGGCCATTTACACGGTACTGCCTCCCAGATGCCTGTGTCAGTACATGGAACTGATACAGTTGCTGCATGCACCAGTTAGAGGTTTAAGTGTCTCTCGTTCCTCCAGGAGGCCTAGGGTCTGTTAAGTATGGTGTCTTGAGCTGATCGTGTACATCTCTTCCCAACTCTGCATTGTTCGGTGACCTCCTGTTGGTAGCTTGAAAATCAACCTTGTGGGAGTACTTACATCACCGTAATCTGCGAAGGCTACAAATCAGGGCTCCCCCTGCAACCACGGCCCCTGCCAGAGTTGGGTGTTAATCATTTACCAGAACACCGCTAGCTCGGTTTCAGCAGGGGGCTGCATCTAACGATCATGGGACCCACCAGCCAAGTGCTCTCGATGATGAAACAAAGCAACAACCTTGACCTCTCTGAGGACTCTCAGAAGAAGGGGAGGAGAGGTGTGTCAAGTGTCTTAGATGCCTATTTATGAAGCAAAAATGGGTGAAGTCCAACTGAGGTCCAAACCCCTTGAGCTAACCAGTCCCACTCTGCTCATGGGGAAAGCCAGGAAGAGTTGTAGAGCAGCTCAGCAGCACCCTTGAGGCATCCAGCTGAAACAGGGTGGAGCAAGTGCACTAGCTCATCCCTTTCTCACGTGTAACACCTGAAATGTGAACTAATTAAACAACCATCACTTGAAAAATGGGAAAATTTATTGTGAATCACCTCGCGAAGCCAATGCTGAGATGCCCGGAAGGCCGCACGGTCGGGATTCGTCATAGTCGAGGCACTGGCGTTCCTCGGCAGGACATGGTGAGGCGGAGAGGAGGTTTAGGAAGTGTTTTAAAGTTCCTTGCTGCGAAATGCTGATGACATTCCTCATTTAGATGATCCCAGGTGGGGAGATTTGAGTTTTCCTTGGTTCCATTGACTCCCATCTAACTGCTTTCAATTTCACAGCAAGTAAAGGAATCCAATTTCATCACCCACAGCTGAAATACCTCTCCCCTTCTAAGCACTCCCCAAGGGAAGAAGGCTGGTGGTCAGCTGCAGGGCAACCTATTTATTATGTTAAGTTTTTTCAGTATGGACAACACTGAAGACACCCAACGTAAATATCTGAACATGATACTTGTTACTGGGTAGCGTAGGGATGATATCAGACTCTAACAACCCCTGTGACTAACAGATAGTCTTGTTTGTGAAAGACAAACAGACCAGAAAGACACGCACCCAGCACAAACAAATGGTTAAGTCTTAAACCCTTAATTATGTTTCCTAGCAAATGGAGGCTAATGGAAGCCATATGTGCTGGAAGAGTGGCAGCCTCCCAGATCCCTGCAGCCTCTGCAGGCCCGAGAGGGGCTGTCTCAGAACAGCCAAGCCGCGGCCAAGTCTTTCTGATTGCCAGTCTGTTGAACTCCCCATTTGCTTCTCCAAGAAGCTTTTTCTTCTTTATATCCAGGAAGACTTAACTGGGGAGTTATATCCATTCTGTCTCAGAAGGTACTTTGTTTCCAGGGCACTGTTCCTACTGATGGGTCAGTCTGAAAGAGTTGGTCAGGCACTCTCACCATCACTGGCTTCGGAGGTACCCAAGTTCTTACCCGGGTTACCAAGCCAGAGGAGACAAGAGGTATCTAAGGCACCAAGCTGATTCCATTATGCAAAAAATGTCCTCCCTTAAAGGACACGAAGCTGTTGGAAAACAACATGGCGGGTGGGCCTTACACAAGGTCCAGTGGAATGACCTAATGCTACAGGGGAAATGGACTTTGCAATTATAGTTTTCCAAATGGTCTGAACTTGGTCTTGCTGCTGACATCATCTGAATGGTTACAAGGCCTCAAAAGACTGCCCCAAGGACTAAATGTCTGATCTTATATCTGAAACCAGACATAGGTAGTCTTGGCTGGGCTGTCCTTTACGGATGCCATTGCTGAGGGCAGGAAGCCAGAGAGAGGGCGCTCCATCCTCCATGAGTCCTTATGCTCCATTCGAATTAGCCTTGCTGTTCTGGGTTATCTTGTGATTCTGACTGGAGTGTCGGGGTACAAAACATAAGGATTTTAGGGACTGGTCACAGTGAGAAAGAAGACATGCAAACAAGGCCTAAACATCTGGGAGTTCATTGGTTCTCTCCTTGGTTCTCAGGAGTCAGCAAAGCCACTCCATAACTCAACTCTCCCGTGACCCCCTGCTGTTCAGGGCAGCAGGCTTTCTGCTCTCGCCCCCAAATGGGAAAAGTGGATAGTTAAGTAATTTCTTATTTACATGCACTTCTCAGATTTAAATTGCTTTCCTGCTAGTATTTCCTGACATCTGAAGCCTGTGCGAAATACACAACATATGGGAACTATTTCCATCTGGTGCAACAGAAAATAAGAATCTGCCTATATTGTAATTAGCTTCTAGACTTAACATGGTTAGGTCTGATCCACGATTGCGTTTGTTGATTTTTTTTTTTTTTCTTTCTTTCACTTTTGGGTCATGGGGGTTTTTTTGTTTTCTTTTTTTGGCGGTACGCGGGCCTCTCACTGCCTTGGCCTCTCCCGTCGTGGAGCACAGGCCCCGGATGCACAGGCCCAGCAGCCATGGCCCACGGGCCCAGCCGCTCCACGGCACGCGGTATCCTCCCGGACCAGGCCATGAACCCGCGCACCCCGCATCGGCAGGCGGACCCTCAACCACTGCGCCACCAGGGAAGCCCTGGGTCATGGAGTTTTTAAAAAATATAGTGGTTATAAAGATGACTAAAGTTCAGCCTCCAGCTTCCTGTTTGGAAGACGGAGACAGGGTGCGGTGTTTTGCAACAGTTATAATTCTAGATTCTCACTGCCCTTAAAAGTAACTAGAGGGAAAGGGTTTTCTTTTTTTAGAAACTTACAGCTTCTTTAGCAGAAGTGATGGATCCTTTACATAATGAAATAGGCTTTGATGGTGTAAGTGATGATGTAGCTGGCGGCAGCTGTATTAGTTTTTCATCCTTAAACATCAGAGCTGAGAGTTGGGTTACTGACTTACAGCAAAAGGTATATTGGGTCTACAGTCACCCTGCCATGGCTGCCAGGAGCTTGAAACAGCTACTTCACATCTGGCACTGGACTCAACAAGCAAAATCTGGAACCTAAGTACACATAGCCAGATGTTGAACTTTCTTAGAAACAGATCAAGCAGTACCAAAAAAAAAATCCATATTAAAGAACACCACTGTATTGAAATTCAGTTTCATTCAGGCGGTGAAAAATAGAGAAATGAACTTCTTGTTATTTTTACTTAAGCAAGTGAAAAGTAATTGTCTAACCTTAGTTCCCTTCAGTTGAAGTGCTAAACCCGCCATGTTCTCTTTAGATTCAGAGGAAGTGGGTGATCCCACGGGAATATCCATCTTGGGAGCCTAGGGAGAGAAATGTTTTATATAAGCTAAGCCTTCTGTTCTTCCTGAAACTCAGAAGCACTTCTACAGTAGTCGGTACTTTCCAGCACAATTTGCTTTCCACTAAATCCCTGACTTCCTTTATGAGTAACATATTGAAGTACATGTCCCTGAAATAGCAACTTAGTATTATTTATCTTTTGAGTTTTGAGCACCCTAGTTGCACTCTAATTAGATTCTGATACTTAAAATCCTCTGTTATTAACAAGCTACTGATTTGCCAATTCTGATCCTGTTCTCTCAAAAAAAAAAAAAACACAAAAGTTGCCATTTCTCATTTACCCATCAGTTTCTAATAGCATTGATATAACTTAGTCAAAAGTGACATCTTTATATGGTGTCTAATAATAAGTGATAAACTTGTCTGACCTATTCAAATGGTAGGTGCTGCCTAATAGATGCCCCTGCAACACCAGGAAAATGGAGGGAGGGAGTAGTATTTTAGAAGAGCTAGCTAATCTGTCTTCAACAATTACATTAATTAGATTTGAAAAGTAAATATATCACTGCTCTTTGGAAGTAAGTAATTTCTTCATGTACTTTGGAGGGAAAGGGGCTACGTATATCCAAAACTATAGTATATTCAGTTTGATGTCTCTCAGTTCTCTACTGAACCTAGTATGCTACTTGTTTTCATTTTGTATATATGGAGAAGTTTAAAAGCATGGATTTAAAAAAACAACAACAATAAAATGCCTAGGAGCTTGTCCTTACTTCTTAGGTCTTTATTAACCATTCCAGAAAGCAACATCTGGATCAAGAGTTTATGCCCCTCTAGAATAATTCTGAAACTCAAGTTTAGCTCTAAGACATTTTGCTACTCCAAAATTTCTTTGCTACTGAAGGGCAGTCTAAAAATGACAAATAGCTGGTCTGTTTCAGAGAAAATGTAAGAACCCAGCAGCCTATTAGAACATGGTTTATGTTCCAGAATTGCTCCTAGTCTCCCTAGAATCCTTCTGGACAAAGCCCAAATCCAGATTAGTCTCTGGAAATATGGAAAGGGAAAGTAAGATGGTGTTTCCTGAAGTACATTATTATTATTTTTTTTTTGGCTGTCCTCCACAAGCTTTATTGACGATTAGGATCCTTAAGCGTTAGTTTTATTCTTCAGGTATCACTTGAGCACATCCAAAGCATACTGAAATATGATTAGGCCCTACCTCTTCCAAGACCCTCATCTCACTTCCCTTTCAGAAGTCACATTTATGAATCAGGTCCAAAACTACTGAAATACATTTTTCATGCTAGACGTTGTATCATTTTTGTTGGCTTGCCCAAGGAGTCAATAGCATAACTAAGATTTAAAATGATTGGTCCTCACTCCAAAGTACTTAGTTCAATCTGCTCAGTCACATGTGTAGCATCTTCTATCATTGATGCATGTTCTGAGTCAGACATGAAGCCACAAAGTGGGGAAGCGAGAGGCCCTTTCTGATGGACCCAGAGCAAGATGCTCTAGTGATTGGGCCAGTCCTGGGTTCTTCAGTAAAACACCAGGAGAAAAAAAGGCTGCTGAGTTCAAGGCAATAAAAAAATGATTAAGGAAAAGAGTTGAAGGAAGACAAAAAGAACTGTTTATATTCTAGATTGGCCATTCACTGCTTAAAAAGTAACAGAAATCTGGGGACTTCCCTGGTGGTCCAGTGGTTAAGACTCCCCCTTCCAGTGAAGGGGGCTGCAGGTTCAATCCCTGGTCGGGGAGCTAAGATCCCACATGCCTCGCAGCCAAAAAAACAAAACATAAAACAGAAACAATATTGTAACAAATTCAATAAAGATTTTAAAAATGGTCCACATCAAAAAAAAAACCTTAAAAAAATTAATAGGAATCTGGACAAATGAAATAGACATGAAAGAACAGGAACCATTCAGTCTCAAAGGAGAAAGAATGGTGGGAAAAAAAAAAAACCCACTAAAAAGACTAGATACTTAAGGAGAAAGAATAAACTGGACTCCTAATGAGACTCCTAAATCAAATAAGACTCCTAAAGATAGTAACAGCTACATGGCTAGAGGTGGTTTGAGCGATTTTCATTTCTTAAAGATTTTTAAAGCCACTTGGGCCAAATTCCAAGATACGCCAAAAGAAATGCCTACTCGGGCTTCCCCAGTGGCGCAGGTGTTGAGAGTCTGCCTGCCGATGCAGGGGACATGGGTTCGTGCCCCGGTCAGGGAAGATCCCACATGCTGAGCCTCGCTGAGCCTATGCTCTGCAATGGGAGAGGCCACAACAGTGAGGGGCCCACGTACTGCAAAAAAAAAAAAAGAAAAAAAGAAATGCCTACTCTGACTGTAACGGGAAATGGAGGTTTGCGGAGAGGCCCCAGTCCTGGGGTCCAGGTTCCCCACCGACCCAGGACTTACCTCCCCACTGAGTGGTATCTCAGTTGGCTTTGGCTTCACATCTATCAGGTAGAAGGTTCGGGACAGAAGCAAAAGAGAAGGAGGGACATTCTCCTTCAGGTGGAGTTCCTGCCACTGGAGAATGGGGGGAGGATGAAACATGACAATCACAGGACGTGAGAGCTGGACCCACGGTCATCTACTCTTCCCTGGTTTTACAGCCCCCAGGCGCACGCTGAGTACTAAGGGCAGAACAAGGACAGGGACATGTCTCCTGGCTTCTGCACCAGTGCTTGGGCCCTGCAGCCTCTCGCTTTCGGAGTCTGAGAGGGAGGTTCAGTTAAACTCTCAAACCAGTTGTGGATCAAAGTAGCTAAGTATCTTCTCTTCAGTATGAAGTCGATAATGTGAAAGAATACATCAGCCTCATTCATAACCAAAGAAATTAACATTAGAATGAGATGTAAGTTTTCAAGTACCAAATGGCCAAACTTTAAATGTATGTATGTATATGTATGTGTATATAGACAGATATAATACACGCACAAGAGAAAAAATTCAAAAGGTAAATAAAATCTAATCAATAAAAATAAGCCTGCCTTCTACCCTATTCTCTAGCTACCCTATTTCCCTCCCTGGAAGCAACCACTGATACCAGTTCCTGATACAATATTCCAGAGATATTCTGTGCATATAAAATAGATATTTTTATGTTTATCTTTACATCAAGTGTGACATATACACACTGTTTTGTCCTTTGCTTTCTGAAATATCTTGGAAACTGATTCATACCAGATGATGTAGAGCTGCCTTCTTTTTAAACGTCTGTAAAGGAATCCATTGTACGGAAATGCCATAATTTGATTATTCTACGGTTTTCCATCTTTTGCTATCATAAATGGTGCTGCAATAGATAACCTTGTAGATATACCATTTTGCACATGTGCAAGAATATAGGATAAATTCCTAGAAGTGAAATTTCTAGGGCAAAGTAAATGCATTTTTAAAATTTGAAAGCTATTGCCAAACATCCATGGAGGATTTTACCAGCAATGCATGAGTGCCTCTCTCCTCACATCCTCTCCAACTCGGTGTGTCACCAGACTCTGACCTTTCCCAACGTAACAGGTGAATGTGGAGTCTCATAGTTTTTTGTATGTTTGTTTGTTTGTTTTTGACTGCACCATGTGGCTTGTGGGATCTTAGTTCCCCGACTAGGGATTAAACCCTGGCCCTCAGCAGTGAAAGTGTGGAGTCCTAACCACTGGACCACCAGGGAATTCCCAAATTATATAGTTTTAATTTATCTTTTTCTGAAGTTAAGATGTTTCCTATGTTTACCATTTTTAGCTTTTCCTTTCTGTGAAATGTCAGCCGTATCCTAGCATAGGATTTTTGGAATTACAATACAGAGTGCTGAATATTGTATGGTTGGATTAGTATTCTCACCCCCTTGAAGTGCATTGTAAAATGATACATCCTTTCAAGAAAGCAGTTTGACAGTATGAAGTCACTTAATACTCTATGTTCAGGAAATAAATGATGTTTAAATACCCCTTGATAACATGCTCACCTTCCAACCAGAGCAGGTCCAAAATGGAAGAGGAAATAGCTACCTGACGGGGTTCAAAGTCACAACAGTGGCTCCTATTCCCAGATAATTTGTGTACACTCCATAGTACTTTATACAGTTACGGGAATGAGGATTATAATAGGAGTTATTCCTTTGTTGTAAAGCATTGACACTCAGTTAAAATCTCTTATTTGAGGGAGACTATGTTATCTGAGGGGAAATCTGTTACAAAGCTAACACTTGACCCTGGTTTGGGGCACAAACTGGGAAAGCAGCCCCAGCTGAGCCACCGGCAAGGTGGCTCCAGATGGATTCACACGGATGACAGGCCTTCTATCAGAGCTTTTGCCCAGGCCCTTACAATACCCAGAGGAAGTACAATTCGAAGATGGTCCCAAGATTTCCAGTCCCTCGTGTACCCACACCTTCTCCCAGTTATTCAATTAAACGCTAATCTAGGTGCTGCCATGAAGGGATTTTGCAGATATAATTCAAGTCCCAAGTCAGTTGACCTTAAAATAGGAAGATTATCCTGGTAGGTCTTACCTAATCACGTGAGACCTTAAATCTGCTGCTAGACGTCATGTGAGAAGTTCACGCAGGTGGAGGGGCCTCCGGGGCTGAGAGTAGCCTGGGGTTGGGAGCCAGTGAGGAAACAGGGACCTCACTCCACAGCTGCAAGGAACTAAATTCAGCCAACAAACTGAATGAGCTTGGAAGTGGAGTCTCCCACACAGCCTCCAGAAAGGAAAACAGCCTGCACTTCTGACCTGCAGAACCATGAGCCTATAATGGGTGCTGCTTTGAGCCCCTACATTTGTGGTGGTGTGTTAGCAGCAATAGAGAACTCTTTAATAGAGTACCTACCACGTCTCTGTCAAAAATAAATCCAGGGCTTCCCTGGTGGCGCAGTGGTTAAGAATCCGCCTGCCAGTGCAGGGGACACGGGTTCGAGCCCTGGTCCGGGAAGATCCCACATGCCACGGAGCACCTAAGCCCGTGCATCACAACTGCTGAGCCTGCGCTCTAGAGCCCGCGAGCCGCGACTACTGAGCCCACGTGCCACAAGTACTGAAGCCCTCGCGCCTAGAGCCCATGCTCCGCAACAAGAGAAGCCACTGCAATGAGAAGCCCTCACACTACAACGAAGACCCAACACAGTCAAAAATAAATTAATTAATTAAAAAAAAATAAATCCAGCTTCTTCAGCTGCCAACGGCTCAACTAAACAAGGCAAATTAGGTAAGATGGCAAAGCACAAATCACAAAACGAGGTCTGCAGATGGCAGGGGAGAGAGTTCCGGGGAAGAGGGTCCAGTAAAGCTGCTACTTGCCTCTGTGAGCTGCTGCTTCAGCTGCTCCTCAGTGAGACCCAGTGAGCGCATCCCCCGGGCCCTGCAGGCCGCTTGCAGCTCTGACAGGCTCAGAGCACTCACCCCTTCCTTGGCAATTACCTGAAACAAACGTAAGGAACGGTATTGGATCCTTTGGTTCCAATTTTACCTAATTCCAACAAATCGGGGGAAACGCAGAATCTGTCACTTTCCCACTTTGTCCCCCACGCTGACTGCTGCAAAAGCCAGGCAATTAATAAAGCAAGGTGACCTCGGGAGGTGCAGTGGTTGACATGAAGGGAATCCCGCCAACAGGTATTAATAATATCAGAGAAGTTGACAGAACTCCTCAACTGCCTGTCCCCAAGGTAATTCTTTCCCCTCTTGCGTTGCCTTTCGCCTGGTTGTGACAGCTCTCCTCCACTTCCCTTTCGCGGCAGCTTTAAGACTCATAGAAAAATATTCCACTTCAAAAGCTTTCAATGGACCATTTGTTGCACGTCTGGGTGGTGGTCCTCCCCGACCCCAGGAACGGCCCCAGCTCCCTGGTCTGCAAAACTCCCTCAGTAAACAACTTAACACAGTTTCTGCTTGGTATGACCCCAAACTGTGGTACTTCTGGGACCGGTATTGTTTATTCCAAAGTTCTAAAATCAACCCCTAAACATCTAAATGGGGCCGATGGGATCCTGCCTTCTCAGTTCTGGGAGCTCTGCTCCCTCAGGCAGAATGCTTTTAAAGCAACTGATTCAGATTCAAGAAACATTCTTCCCACTTTTTTTTTTTTTTTTGGGTAGGCGGGCTTCTCCCTTTTTGGCCTTTTCCGCTGCGGAGCACAGGCTCCGGACGCGCAGGCTCAGCGGCCATGGCTCACGGGCCCAGCCGCTCCGCGGCACGTGGGATCTTCCCGGACCGGGGCACGAACCCGTGTCCCCTGCTTCGGCAGGCGGACTCTCAACCACTGCGCCACCAGGGAAGCCCCTCTTCCCACTTTTTAAGGACTCTAATTAGTAGCTATAGTCCAAATGGTGCCTTTTTCTTCCAGAAGATGTCGAGGTCCTGCCTTCCCTCCCTGCATTATCCTTTGTCACCCCTTCGTACCAGGCGGGCTCACCCAGCTGTGTGGGGAGAAGCAGAGGGGAGGTACAGGGAGTCGCGCGCTGTCCTTGGCAGTGGAATCTACTGTTCTCAGGGATCTACTGGGTTGCTGTTCCTTCCCAGCAGACCCTAACTGCTTTAGATTAGTACCAGCTAAGACATCCAAACTACTAACTGCTTACAAGGGCCTTCTAAAGAATACGACAGACAACTCCTAAAGTGAGTAATCAAGGTTCAGGTTGTCAGCGGTTGTTTAAACCCGTGGTCCCCAACCTCTTTGGCACCAGGGACCGGTTTCGTGGAAGACGACTTGTCCACCGAGACGGGGGTGGCCGGGTGACGAGGGGGATGGTTCAGATGATCATGAGAGCGATGGGGGGGCGGCAGACGCAGCTTTGCTCTCTCACCCGCCGCTTACCTCCTGCTGTGCGGCCCCAGTTCCTAACAAGCCACAGGCCGGTTCTGGTCCATGGCCCGGGGGTTGGGGACCCCCTGGTTTAAACCACTCATTCTTCCAGAACCAGCCCCTGAGCAGACCTAACAGAAGACACTGCACTTTGTCACAAAGCCACCCTAAGACAGTCCCCAAGGCCGGGCTAATACCCTACAGCTGTAGTTCAGCTCTCGCTTCATCATCTACTCTCATAGATTTCAGCTTCGTCAGGAGCTGGAGGCAGAGCAGGTTGTTGGTTCCAAAGAACTGCAGTTCCGGAAGTTTGCAAAGGGCCACCAGCTGAGATCGATCGAGGTGCTCCAAGGTCAGCTCATCCTCAAAGAGTTTGGAAAAGCGAACTATCTCCTTTGTGCTGGGCTTGTGGCCTGTCTGGACCTAGGTAGTGGGACGAAGGGGCTGATTAAAACGTGCTTCCTACTTAACTGAATCTTCCCTGTAGACTATTTGAAAGACGCCGAAGCATTTATGGATTGTGTCTTCTGTCTGGAAGTGGAAGCGTGCCCTGTGTTACAAAGAGGAGTTAAGAAATAAAAAGTCTGTCGGAAGTCAGCCTAAATCAACTGAAAAATTAGGAGCAGTTCAGAAGTCTGAGTCTCACTCTACTGTTCTTTCCAAGAAGTTATCAACATCTTCAACACATTGATGGCTTTAAGATAGGTTTTTCTGCAAACTCCCATAAATGTTTGCAATATTATATCTCTGTAACTTAGATATTTGCAAATTCAGAGATTATAAACAAGTTGGAAGCTCCATGATGATATGTTGTCCGGTTTTATATAAAAGACTGACATCTGTTTGATGTAGGATGCGAACTGGGTGGAGGTATCCTCCAGCTGCGCCCTGTTCCTCCTTGCCATTTCTGCAATCGTTTCTTGAAGGAATTTTGCTAGTTCCAACTTTGCCGCCATTTTCTTTTTCTTCCTTCATAATAGAAGAGGAAAAAGTTAATCAAAGTTAATTCTTCGTGATTACAACTTGGTAGATAAAGATGAGAGAAAAATAACTGTGGCTTTGTTGTCGGTCATCCCTATTTCACGTATGAATATTATTTTCAGACCTAACTGAAGGCGCTTTGTGATAACCAGAGCAAATTAAAAAGTAGCCTTGATTTGCAGCTTGTCTCCTTAATCTTACCTTTTATTTTTCATTGATACAATGATCATAAGTATTTGATAGACCCAAAATGTCCCCTCAATGGAAGCCTTTGTCACTATTTAGAACAGATGCATACTGTCTCTTAACCTGGTGCAAGCCATCTAGGCCGTTGGTCAAGTCAACCCCTAGTGTGAGTGGCCCCAGATTTTGCTTGGGCCACAAACTAAAGAAAACTAGGAAATTAACTCTAAGCTAAAGTAGCTTACAGGTTAAGAAGAAAACAAAAAGAATCAATTATAAGACAATGAGTTAAGTGCTATAACAGATATGAACAAAGCACTATATAAAAGAGAATTAAATGTATACTCTTAAGACACTATGTTGACCAGTATTTCTACATCCTCATTCATTATCACAGATGCAGTGTGGTAGTATTTTCAAAATAACCATGGGGCTTCCCTGGTGGCGCAGTGGTTGAGAGTCCGCCTGCCGAGGCAGGGCACACGGGTTCGTGCCCCGGTCCAGGAAGATCCCACATGCCGCGGAGCGGCTGGGCCTGTGAGCCACAGCCGCTGAGCCTGCGCATCTGGAGCCTGTGCTCCGGACGGGAGAGGCCACAACAGTGAGAGATCCGTGTACCAAAAAAAATAAAATAAAAAAAAATAACCATGATCAGGGTGAGTAGAGAGGAACAGGAATATGTGTGTGTGTGTGTGTGTGTGTGTGTATAGTATAGTATATATATATACACACACACATATATATATTTTATATATATATATATATATATATACATTTCCCCCTTAAGTTGCCCAAGAGATTCTAATGACCAGCCAATCACAGCAATCATTGATTTTTTTAGAAAGATCTTAAAAGAATCAGCCCCCCAAAATTACACAATGGCAATACCATCATTAAAACCCATTTAGCCACCCATTTCATTCATCTGTATCCATCCATCCATTTATTTATTGAGCATCCACTGTGTGCTAGGTGCTGGGATAAAGTGAGCAAAAACAAATAAGAATCCCTTCCCTCATGGAACTTCTAGTCTAATGGGAGAGACAACCATTATTGACTAATGATAATCCAGTAATTCCACAAATTAATGTGAAAGCATACCAGATAAGTACCATGAAAGAGGAGCGCATGATCCTGTGACCTGGTGTGAGTAGAAAGCTAGCACAATCACGCTCACTCTCGTGCTCCCCTTCTGTTCATGGAACAAAGAAAAGAAGACAGTATTTTCTAAAACTGTGGCCATGATGTGTATATATGTATGTCTGGGGAATGAGTAGTGCTGAGGAAAGAGGAATATTTAGATAAATCACTTCCTCATTCCCCCCATCTTCCTGCATTCACTAATGCCTTCCTTGGAATCCTATGGTATTAATTCTAGATCCTGTTTACTTTAAATGTAAGTAAACTAAACCACTGCCAGGCAGTTAAATATTGCAATTTGATTCTACCCCTTAAATCTGTCTCAAATCTATCTTCTTTTTTTTTTTTTTTTGCGGTACGTGGGCCTCTCCCGTTGCGGAGCACAGGCTCCGGATGTGCAGGCCCAGCGGCCATGGCTCACGGGCCCAGCCGCTCCGCGGCATGTGGGATCCTCCCAGACCGGGGCACAAACCCGTGTCCCCTGCATCGGCAGGTGGACTCTCAACCACTGCGCCACCAGGGAAGCCCTATCTTCTTCTTTTTTTAAGAAATGTTATTTTATTTACTGTTATTATTATATTTTATTTATTTACTTTGGCTGCGCCCGGTCTTCGTTGCGGCACTCGGGATCTTCATTGCAGCATGCATGTGGGACCTAGTTCTCTGACCAGGGATAGAACTCAGGCCCCCTGCATTGGGAGCGCAGAGTCTTACCCACTAGGCCACCAGGGAAGTCCCTCAAATCTATCTTCAAGTTTTCACTCCTGATGCAACTTTCATAATTCTGGCTTTTTCATCTCTTTCTTGTGCTGCTGCAAAAACATTCCGGCTGGTTTTCCTCACTTGGCTCTGCCCTCTTTAATCCTTCCTGCCAGCAACTTGTTTTTCTAAAATACAACTCTAATCATGGTTAATTAGATTATTTAGATTGATCTAAAATAGAGATTACTGTTTTTCTCACCCCCTGCTTACATACACCTTCCATTACTCACCACTGTCAAATTCTGAATTCCTTAGGGTGGTAGATGCTTTCCAACCTGACCCCAACACATCACGTTTGTCTCATTTTCTCCCACCCATCCCCTTGTACTCCCTGCTCCAACCACAAAGAATCAGTCAGTGGTCTCTGAATGGCATACTCTTTTACACTGTTAAGCCATCTTAAGTGCTATTCCTTCTATCCAGAGTGCCTTTCAAACAGTGTGGTAAAATTCTACTACTCTTAAAGTCTCAGGTCCATGGTCACCTCTTCCGTGAAACATTTCCTGGTCTGCTTTCAAAGTTGCCCTCTCTGTCCTCTGCTAGTGTTGTGTCCACGCCTTCATCCATCTGTCTGGGAGAGTGGCACAGATGGAGAGGATGCAGGGGCTGCCTCGGTGGTCCAGCGCTTCACCTTCACAGTGACCATCAAAGAAGGACACCCTCTTCCCAGGGACTACTCACAAGCACTAAATGGTCTGTTTGGCTGAATAAATCATGTGTACTGTTCAACTAGTCACTGCAGTAACAGGTGATTTTTGTTTTCTTTATTTTTTCATGGTAAAAAGTTAAAATTGAGTGGAGAAGGGATAGTTTTTTTCAGCAAATGATGCTAGAAAAACTGGATATCCACAGGCCAAAAAAAAAAAAAAAAGAGCTTGACACTCATGTTACACCTGTCACAAAATTAATTCAAAATGTAAAACTCAAAACTATAAAACTCCTAGAAGAAAACACAGGAGAAAATATAGGTGACCTTGGGTTTGGCAGTGAGTTTTTAGATACAACACCAAAAGCATGATCCAAGAAAGAAAAAAATTGATGAGTTGTACTTCATTAAAATTAAAAAGATTTGCTCTGAAAAAGACACAGTTAAGACTGGGAGAAAATATGTGCAAAACACATATCTGATAAAGAACTTGTACCCAAAATATACTAAGAACCCTTAAAACTCAACAAAAAGAAAACACCCCGATTGAAAAGTGGGCGAAAGATTTGAACAGACACCTCCCCAAAGAAGATACACAGATGGCAAATAAGCATGTGAAAAGATGCTCAATGTCATGTGTTATTAGAGAATTGCAAATTAAAATAACAATGAGATACCACTACACACCAATTAGAATAGCTAATAGTCAAAGCACCGACAGCACTAAATGCTGAGGAAGCCACAGGAACTTTCATTGCTTGCTGGTGGGAATGCAAAATGGTACAGCTACTTTAGAAGACAGTTTGTCTATTTCTCTTGAAACTAAACATAGCCTTACCATACAATCCAACAATTTGCTCTCCTAGGTATTTATCCAGATGAATTGAGAGCCTGTGTCCACACAAAAACCTGCACATGAGTATTTACAACAGCTTTATTGATAATTGCCAAAAACTGGAAGCAACTAAGATGTCTTTCAAATAGATGAATGGATAAATGGTGGTACATCCGTACGATGGAATGTTATGCATTGACAGAAAGAAATGAGCCAGGAAAAGACATGGAGGAACCTTAAATGCATCTTCTAAGTGAAAGAAGGCAGTCTGAGAAAGTTACACACTGTACGATTCCAACTACATGACATTTTGGAAAAAGCAGAACTATAGAGTAAAAAGATCAGTGATTGCCCCGGGTTAGGGGAAGAGGGAAGAGGGACTAAAAGGTGGAGCACAGGGGATTTTTAGGGCAGGGAAACTATTCTGTATGATACTGTGATAGCGGATACATGACATTATTTTTTTTTTCAAAACCCATTGAACTATACGACACAAAGAGTGGACCCTAATGTAAAGTATGAGATTTAATTAATACTGATGTATAGATACTGGTCCTTCGATTGTACCAAGTGTACCACACGAATGCAAGATGCTAATAATGGGGGAAATAACAAGGGGAGGGAGATATGTGGGGACCCTCTGTACTTTCTGCTCAATTTTTCTGTAAACCTAAAAACTGCTCTAAAAAACAAAATCTATTAATTTTTTAAAAAGTTTAAAATCCTACATACCTTTTTGGATTCACTTTCAAAGATGATGGCAACATCTCTGGGAAGAGTTTCAGAAACGCTGGCAATAAGGATTCCATGAAGGGAACAATGATGAACACCATAAATGGAACCAGGCGGAATAAATCAGCACACGTTCTCAACAGCTAAAGAATCAAATGCATATGCAAATAGTCATTATTTTAGGACACGCCAAAAACAAAAACAAAAGCCTGCCTTGGTTCTTAAAGTGTTAAAAAAACCCAAGACGGATTTTCTGCAGCCGTTTATAAAATGGAAAGGCCGGATTTTCCTCTGTACCATAGCTCTGAAGTAATATTTATGGGATATCTTCAATGAAATCTATGACAATCAAAACATGTTATTGGTGTCTCTGAGCTTTTATCTAAGTTAGGGGTCTGTACTTTAATAACATGGTATCTGTTAAAATTGCTTTTTCAAATGCGTATACTTAATATATTAACAGCAGTTTCTACTCCAGATGCACAGATCAAACTTGAAGCCTCTCAACCCCTTGGAGAAATTAGAAAACACAATTATAACCATTCCATGGACAAATATACACAAATTTTAGGAACGCTGCCTAAAGTTGTACAGCAAGTCAGTTGCAGACAAGTAAGAAATTCTGATTCTCACCATGAGTTACTATTCCTACTCTGGGATTTTTAAGATGAACTTGAAGTGGAACTTAAAAGTTGGTTCCAGGGCTTCCCTGGTGGCGCAGTGGTTGGGGGTCCACCTGCCAATGCAGGGGATGCGGGTTCGTGCCCTGGTCCGGGAAGATCCCACATGACGCAGAGCGACTGGGCCCGTGAGCCATGGCCGCTGGGCCTGCACGTCCGGAGCCTGTGCTCTGCAACGGGAGAGGCCACAACAGTGACAGGCCCGCATATCGCCAAAAAAAAAAAAAGTTGGTTCCAAATAGTTCATTTTAACTTTCCATTTTCTTTCACAAATATGACTCTTGCCCTACCCTTCATCCCTCTCGTCTGGTCAGCACCTGTCCATGCAACAGCCTCCAAACCATTCTGGCAGCAACTTTGGTGTCAATCCAAAGCAAATAGAATCCATTGTGATAATATTTAAGTTCATCCATAATTATCTGCCTATAAGATCGCTTTTCTTCCTTAATCTTCACTCCAGTTTCTTCTGTTGGCTGAGGGCTTGGCACCTGTGGCTTCTTTGTGGTTTGCTCCAGCTGAGGTTTACCCGGGACCTCCTGCAGCCAGTAAGCAGATGTGTGCAGCTTTTGTATTACTCTAGTCCTTAAGTGAAGTACTTTATGGCCTGTCTGAGTAGGCTAGGAGTACTTCTTGCTGCCATAGTTCTTCATATATGTTTTATATAAATGGGAATCTGGTAAGTGAAGAAATGCAAATGATGGGGAGTGAGAAGAGCTGGTGGGATGGACACAATGGCTAGGGAATCTGGAATAAAGAACAACATCCTCTGAGTTGAGCACATACTATTACAAGACAAAAAATTAAAGAAATAGATATTTTATCTGGTAAAAATAGAACAATCATTTTTAAGCCTGCATTTTAAAAGTAGATTATGTTCATGAATGAATGAAATATAACTGTTTAGCCCAGGTGAAGGATAGTGTGCTTTATGGGTGAATGATATACTCTAAGAGAAATATTAATAAGTTAATTCCTAAGAATAATTGCCATATTACAAGTTAGAAACTCTGTGACTATTGATTTAAAAAGCAAACATTCTTTTACCCTGGGTTATGTTTGAAAGTTTTGTCTCTATTATCATAAAACAGGTGGAACACTTGTGTCTTTAGCTAGTCTACTGATGATATATATATTGTTTGAATGAGACATTTCATGGTCCCTGTGGGGATAAACCAATCACACAATACTGCTTTGTCTATGCAGTGCCCAGGGACTCCTTCAAATGAGAGGGACTTACTACTGAAATGCCCTTCACCTAAGATTCCTAAAGAATGTTAGGAATAAGAGTTAGAATTGGGCTCCGCATACAGATGAACCGGTTTGCGGAGCAGAAATAGAGACATAGATGTAGAGAACAAACATATGGACACCAAGGGGGGAAAGTGGCGGGGGTGGGTGGTGGTGGGATGAATTGGGAGATTGGGATTGACATATATACACTAATATGTATAAAATAGATAACTAATAAGAACCTGCTGCATAAATAAATAAATAAAATTCAAAAAAAAAAAAAAAAAAAAAAAGGAATTGGGCTCCCCAGCCAGGGATCTCTACAATCTAGTTTTGTGACAACTCACAATCTTCAGCTAGACTGACGCATCAGATTGTTTGAAAGTAAAAATAAGACCCATCTAGGCAAAGACAACTTCTGGCAAAGAGACTTCTTTGGGCAAAGAGATGGCTTTTTCCATTCTTTCAGACTATTTTTGAAGCATGCCAAGTATAGCACTTTTTGAATGGCCAAAAGGGAAAATATACAACATATCTGGCATGCAGTAAGTTCTCAGTGAATATTCTTTGGAACAAATAAGTGATAACAGACCTTACTGGGGCAGGTATATACCCTAGAATTGGCTTGTTTACCAGCCGTTTTACACCTTTTTACATCTAAGGGCCTCATTACAGAGGTGTCACTCTAAAGCCATTACATCTTGTATCTTACCTGTTCCCACACTTCTACAAAATTACTCAGCCTGAGTTCTAAAGCATATAGAAAATCTGGGGTAAGTTTAAATACATTAAAATGTCAGCTTCCTAAAAACCAACACAATTAAAACCAACAAAGCTTTAATTTTGTACTAAACCTATCCTTTTACATGTATCTTTTCCAACTAGAAAAATAAAGTTTATATAAATATTGGGGGGTGGAATTCCAAGGCTTACCTTGCTCGGGCAATAGCTAAGACTGTTTTATAACTGTAGAAGGCCATATTTGTGTTTGTCTCAACAAGTCAACATAGGGACCTAGACAGAAGGAGTAAGTAAACAATTCAGTACTTTAAAGACACATCAGGGCTTCCCTGGTGGTGCAGTGGTTAAGAATCCGCCTGCCAGTGCAGGGGACACGGGTTCGAGCCCTGGTCCGGGAAGATCCCACATGCCGCGGAATAGCTAAGACCGTGCACCACAACTACTGAGCCCGCGTGCCACAACTACTGAAGCCCAAGCGCCTAGAGCCCATGCTCCGCAACAAGAGAAACCACTGCAATGAGAAGCCCGCACACTGCAACAAAGAGTAGCCCCGGCTCGCAGCAACCATAGAAAGCCACCAGGCAGCAAGGAAGACCCAATGCAGCCAAAGGAAAAAGAAAAAAAATCAATTATACAGATATCAGGATTTAAGTGTTTTTAACTATTGCAAGGGTAGAAAATTTGCATATTCTATTCAAGGTGTAAAATTTCCTTCAAGAGCATTTCCAACAATCACGAATAATATTTTCTTAGCCCTGGATTTGAGAATGGTTATTTGAGATCCCAACAAATAGAAATGATCTCGAATATGATGATGTTCATGATGGTGATATGGTCTTCAAAGACATTTTGATTTCTGGTCAACAGTACTGAGTAATTTACTTGAACGGTTGCCAAGTAGTTAAGAAATCAAGACAAGCTTATTTGTAGCCTAAAATTACAGGTAGACAGTAAATATTCTGGATTTGTTTTCAATTAGCTTTTTTCCATACTTGGACAAGCTGCTGCCAACATTTAAAGATTGAAAGTACTCATTCAGCAATGAAAATATGCATGGCACCTACTAATAATTCAAGTGGAGGTAATTCAAGTGGGTTTCCTATGCTCGTGACCCTCCAAAGAGCCCAAACTGAGCTTTAAACCTTTAAGCTTTACCAAAATTTTTCTGCATCCTACGGCGCTCTTCAGCCAACGGCAGCAAGAGCCTTATTATCTCGCAGTGTCAACTCTGCTTTCCTGAAGCTGGGAAAGGAGTAGCAATCCCTCCGGTACGGAAACCTCAACCACAGACCTGACATTTAGAGCAAGAATTCAAATAATACTTCGGAACATCTGCACCCAGACCAAGGGCGTGTGGCCCCCTGCTGGAGGAAGGCCAGACCCGATCGGGCAGTTAATCTGCTCTCGGGCCACGGGCGCTCGCCGCCTGGACTGTGGGCAACCACTTCCCAGGAGCGCCCGGCCGTGACCGGGGAGGGGCGGGGCCGGGCGGCGAGCGGGGCGGAGCCAGGCGGCGAGCCCCGCCTGCGCTTATGCGCCGCCACGCCCGCTCGCCCGGGCCCCAGGCTCCCCCCGTTACCCTTGCCTTAGGCTCTCGACGTCACGGTGGCAAAACGCGCTCTCGGCCTCCCCAACCGGTGACTTTTGTGCGCGTTGTGTGTTGCTGGGCTGCGTTTGCTGTGCTGGGGTCCCGGGGCGGGGGGCGGGGTCTTTGGGTTTTTTTTGGAGCGGGCGTGTTGCAGGCACGAGGACCAAGAGCCTTGGCGATCCAAGTTTATGGAAGGAAGGCGAGAAGAATCGGGACACAGGGTACGGAAAAGAAATGAGGAGGCCAAGCATGGAAAGAGGGGGGATGGAGGCTGAGCCCCAAAGTTGGGGTGCGGGCGGGGGGCTGAGGTCAGGGGCTGAGGAGAGCGCGGGGTGGGGCCTCGAAGCTGTCTGGAAATCTGGGCGCTGATGGGAGGAGCAGGATGCGGAGGGAGCGGGCTCCGGAGGAAAACAGGCAGGCGCGGTCCACCAAGTAACAGCCTGAGGACTTGGCCCGCCCACCCCTACTTCCTACGGCAGGCTCCCCGGAACTGCTGCCTCAGTCCTCCAGCGCCTTCCCAATTCCCCTCCTCCCACAGCTCCCCCAGCTAGAAGGGCCAGAAGCCAACTCTCTATGGCTCCACCTCTTTCCTCAGCCATTACGTCACTCTGAGTGACGACACCACCCACCAATGAGCTCTCAGATTCTGGGGCGCTAAGGCGTCCCTCGCGATGGCAGCCCAGGGGACCGCAAGGTCTGGTTCTCACCGGCGAAATGACTTCTCTACTGGGTTTAGTTTAAGGAGTGTTTATGCTGGGGGGCTCAATACTGACGCTTTTCTGCCTGTTCACACTCTGTAGCTGTGGATTCACCACCCCCAAAAAAACACCCTTCCTTGAAGCTGGATTAAAGAAGCCCTTACCCTACCAGTCGCGTAATATGCCTGATAGTCGCCATGGTGACTATCTGGGAGTCACCAATTACATCACTCTGATATATTCCCCCACCTTCCAACTCCGCAACTGCGGGCGGGGAAATCAGTGAGGGGAGGGAGTGGCAGAAAGGGCGGGAATGGTGAGGAAAACATCCCCTCTCCTATATCCAGGGCCAAAAACTAGAATGCTATGAAATCTTCATATGGAAATCTGAATTCCACTAAATAAAATTGCTTTATAAATGTTCTCTTAACAGATATTGGTTATGTTCAGTAGTTTGTGTTTCTCAAATAACATTTAAAATGTATATTATAGTAGCTGTGCAATGACATTGGCACTGCAGGTTTGGGGGCACTTCAGTTCCTAGGATGGGGAACTGAGCCATCTTGGGAAAGTGAAAGATCTAAAAATGTACTCTATCCCCAGTTATCTCTACCCATCCATTTTATCTGGCTCTAGAAGGAAAACAAAATTTTGGTGGCTCTACTTTAACACGACAGGAAGGAATTGCTTTCACACGGAGAATACTTCTCTTAACATGTGACTGACCACAGACCTTACTCATCTGGGCTGCACATTTGTAAGAGTAAAAGATGGCGGTATATAAATTTTCATTTTTTAAAAAAATGTAGACTGTTTTTAATCCACAAAGCATTTTTTAGCTAATAACCGAATGGATCCACTGTTACATAGGCAAAACTTTTCAGTTTGGCCACTAGAGGGCCCTTTGTGCGTGTCTGATACCCAACTTTAGACCGAAAGGATTCACTTCAAGTTCTATGTTTACGAGAGTTAACAAAATCTACAAAGCTTTATAAAGTCTCTTTACCTTTCCTTCCCTGAAAATTCCCGATGGTAAATTTTGAACTCTAAAAGGCTAGGTAGGTATAATTTTCACATTAATTTCATAAATTAATCACTGCACTATCATGTACATGTACTTTTCTGCAAAAGATCATAAAAGATGCAAAAATATTCTTCTCAGTTCCCTGGGAGACATTTTATGCCGGGAAATATTCTTATTCATGCATTGTATTCATTTACAACCAGGCACAGTGAAAATCATTAAGTATTCATAAACCAGATGAACGATTCCAAGCCCAGTATTTGAAAGATGAGCTAGATTTTCTACCATGGCCATATGTCAGCAATCCCATTTTAAAAAGGGAAGGTTTAAGAATCTTTCTTATTGAAATCCATTGGTTCAAAACAATGTCTGCCTTCTCTTATCAGGCCTGGTGATTTTTTTGACTTTCAGGATAAGTGATTTATCATGTAATGAGTTTCTTAATATAATCTTCAGAAGACAAACAAAAATGTTTTTTTCTCCCTAATCTTGGTCCTGAGAATTGTGTTAGATTGCTCTCTTTTTAGAAAAAATTGTAAATTTTCTTAAATTTATTTTTGGCTGCTTTGGGTCTTGTTTCTGCACGCAGGCTTTCTCTAGTTGTGACGAGCAGGGGCTACTCTTCGTTGTGATGTATGGGCTTCTCATTGCGGTGGCTTCTCTTGTTGCAGAGCATGGGCTCTAGGCGCGCAGGCTCAGTAGTTGTGGCACATGGGCTTAGTTGCTCCGCGGCATGTGGGATCTTCCCTGGCCAGGGCTCAAACCTGTGTCCTCTGCATTGGCAGGCGGATTCTTAACCACTACACCACCAAGGAAGTCCCAGATTGCTTTCTTAATGAACTGTTTGCTCACTTTCTATGAAGAATTGAAAACATGCTCTGAACCTTATAAGATGTTAGATGCTAAAAATGTAAATTATTATTTTAATGGCCATTTCCCTAAGTACGGCTCCAAATCAAATATTAACAATGTGTATGTTATGCAGGAAGAGACTATGCATTTACTTCACGTAAGTTTAATTTTAAACTCTTGTCAATACAGGAAGGTGGGAAAGAAGGATGAAGATAGAAAGGATCATAGGAAAGGAGAAAAAAAGACCAATTTAACCTCTCTTTCCAGGAGATGGAATCAACCATTTGAAATAAGCTCAGGTGGTGTGGCCCCCTTTGGAGAAGACATTTAAAACAAAACTGTGCTTTTATTGATTCCTTTAACTTTTGGTACCACAAGCATATGAACCACACAAGCATAGATTTAGAAATAGTTAATGATTAACAGTACTGGGAATGCTTAATTCTGAATATCATCCTTAGCATTATTAACAGGGTTGTGTGTGTGTGTGTGTGTTTTAAACGAATGCAAAATTAGAAATCATGAAAATAATTGGTCTGTAGGAATCTTTTAATTTCCTGTTTAAGTGGTATTTAAAGATAAAGGTAGCAGGGATTGCCCGTAACGGTACCAAATAGATACAGCACTGTAACGTCGATGGAGAGTCTAAGGTCTAGTGCTGATATGACTTTATTATTCTCAGAACGGAGTATTGGTTTCCTCATCTGGTCGCTGCCTGTGTTTCCTTTGTACTTTCATGTCTGTGCTACGACGTTCTAAGTCATTATCACCAGGCCCCAGGAAATATCACCAAATCGGCCCACTCCTGCAAGAGGAGTTTACTGTGTCACGTACCTGGTACCTTCTATTGTTTCACATAAATTTCCTAGGATGGGGAGGGATATAGGGTTACAGAGAATCTTGACTCCCGCTTCGTCCTCTCATTCTTGCGTACGTGAGCTCTGTCTGGGACAAACGCCCTCATCCCTCAAAGCGCAGGTCTAGCCGCGAGCAGCGCAGGGCCCGGCACGTGACGGGCGGGGAGCCCGCCGGTCCCTCTGGGTTGGGGTGCGGAAGGCTCTGCCTTCCTTCCCCCTGTTACCCACAAGCCCCCGGGCCCG